TGTCGGCGCGCTGTTGTCGGCGCGCTGTTGTCACCGTGCTTTTGACATCGTGGTTTTAGCGCTGCGGTGTTGTCGTCGCGCTTATGACGTTCGCGCTTTTGTCGGGTCACGATTAACCACAATGTACCCAATGTCTGCCATTGTTATATCTTTCTTGATTATGAAAGCAATATCATTTTTCATCTCCTGAATAACAAGTAGTGTGATTTTTCATTTCAGTTCACTGATGTGCAAGATATGCAATGTGTAGTCGATTCATTTCACTTTTCATAGTGTTGAGCATTCCCATGCCAAAAGGTTTATGCAAAGCAAACTTCAGTCTCGTATACAGACTTAAAATCAAAGAAGCCGTTTTCTGAGACATCAGCGTCATCTACTGCCTTTCTCCCAATTTCAGTTTTCATGGTGGTACCCATGAACTTTTCAGCTCTGCTGAGTTCACCCACATCAGAATATTTTGTATGGATGGGTAGACTCCATGTTGCACAACATTTGCCTCCTGATCCATTTTAAACAAAAATAGAATCAAATAGATGCCTTAAAAATGAAAGTGTGTCCATTGGAGATGGTTCCTTTGAGGCTTTGGTAATGGTTGGTGGATCCAGTGTTGTTATAAAAAAAACCAACTGAATCTTACAAGATCAGCATCTGCCCACTGTCAGAATGGGACAACCTGCCACAGCCAACTCGCTGCAGCCAACTCATCATGGCCAACTCATCACAAAACAATTTAACAATTCAATTTCATTATTATCCTCCTTTTGAATCCTTTCTTTAATGATTCTATTCCACCATTTCTTTGATAGTAGTGTAACTCTTGCCCTGCAGTAACTTGTCCCATGGCAAGTTGGCTGTGGTGAGTTGGCCGTGGCGAGCTGACCACAGCAAATTGTCATAAATCCACCCATTGTCATCTTATCTCATCTTATCTAAACTCATCTCAACTCATCTCATCTTATTGTCTTCTATCACCTTGGTAATAAAAACAATGACTTTGTACCTTTGTCTTAGCAATTGTTTAGAGTTTCTAGTCCAAGAAATATAACTAAATAAGGTTTTTCCATTTGCTTAAAAGAGAATTAATAGCCCTCGTTTTTTACTTCAACCTCCCACATTCACCCTAGGTATGAAAAGCAGACAAAGCCGGACTACTAGAATAGTTCAGTAGTGCTCTATAACTAAAGTACTACATGTCATACAGGATGGCTGCTAATGAGACCTAATCATTCTCTCATTGTTATTCTAATACACTAACTGCACCAAGACAAGTGAGCCTGCAAACAGAGATCCAAGTAAAATAAAACCATTACAATTGTAGCCTGGGCTGTAAATCACTGGCTGGGGTATTCTATTGTGGTTTGACAGAAAGCCAGGAATAGTCAAATAATCAAACTGCAGATGCTAAGGCAACACATGTACTTTCTTTTAAATAGTGGCAATGCTCCAAATGCATAGGAAAAATGCTATGTATGATACAGGAATTCTCCCATTTCTCAATTTCTTCTTAACTAGCTCTATAAATAATGTTGTCCCTTAGCAAGTGTATGTGCCAGGGTGGGTTCACAGGTTTGGATGACCCATTGCAAGCTTTTTAAAGTGCCGTGTTACTACTCATCATTAACATTTCACCTCTATACTACAATGTTCTGATCCTTGGTATAAGGAAATATGGAACCATTTTAGAGCAAAATTTTAGTTTGGACACATAAAGCCTTTTCAGTAGTAGCTCCGACCCTTTGGAACGACCTCCCCATGGAGATTCGTACCCTCACCACCCTCCAGACC